GGAAACGTAAAATGATTGGCTAGAATCTAAAGTGTATCACAGCTCAGGAAAAAAAAGCACCGAAATGTGCGCTGCTTTTCGGTCTGGTTACTACCGTTTATGTCAGAACCACGATTAATTTCATAAGTCAGTTATTAATTGTCCATCGGTATGTGGGAGCCGAAATCTCAGCCCTGCTCATAATTCATGCAGACAGCTGTGGGACTTTTGATGGGCACACCATGTATGTCTCCCCACACACCAAAGAAAAAGTTAAATAAATGAGCTGCAATATCTGTAACTTGGTCAATCGTTTTTATAGTCACTATCTAGATGAGTTTTTTTCTGTAATTTGAGGTTATCACGTTTATTATTTTTACGTTTCAAAACAGTATTGCCAACAACCAGAGTTTGCTCCTCAACACATGAGGGTGGCTTCGGTCGCACTGACTACAGGTACAAGTATCATTATTACTAAAGGAGGCAGAGGAGTAACTAAACTTCTGACACACTGAGCAGGAAAGTGCAGGAGAGGCCATGTAGCTAGAGATCTGGCTACGAGCTAAACTAAGCTAGCAAATCCAGAAAGACACACTGAATGAATACTGCGAATATAATTAGTGGGTGAATCGAATTATGTGCTTTGGCGTGTGTGAGCTTTTTATTAAAATTATAGGCCATTGTAACAGATAAGTTATACAAAAACACAATCATTCATAGTAACAGGAGCAGGGAGTGATACTCTACCATAGACAGCACCAACACCAAGTCGTGTTCTTTCACCAACATGTAGGTAAAATAACAGGTAACTAGTAGGTGTTGGATTAGTATGATCGGAGTCTGCGCTGCGGGACTGTTTTGATCACGCGGACTGGGAAATGTTTCACGTGGCTGCTAGGGACATTGATGAATACACAGACTCAGTCTGCGGATTTATCAGGAAATGCGTGGAAGATGTCGTCCCATCCAGAACAGTTAAATCCTTCCCGTGCCGGCACGGAGCACCGCCTTTGCCTCCGCGAACACATCGGACTACAAACACGCACATTACCAACTCCGGAAGACGATCAAAGCAGCCAAACGTGAGTACAGGGACAGGGTGGAGCAACAGTTTGACAACCCTCGGAGTATGTGG